ATCATTAAAAAGTCAAGAAACAACAATTGCTGGAGAGGATGTGGAGAAATAGGAACACTTTTACATTGTTGGTGGGACTATAAACTAGTTCCACCATTGTGGAAGACAGTGTGGCGATTCCTCAAGGATCTAGAACTAGAAATACCATTTGACCCAGATATCCCATTACTAGGCATATACCCAAAGGATTATAAATCATGCTGCTATAAAGACACATGCACACGTATGTTTATTGCGGCACTATTCACAATAGCAAACACTTGAAACCAACCTAAACGTCCATCAATAAGACTGGATTAAGAAAATGTGGCACATATACACCATGGAATACTATGCAGCCATAAAAAAGGATGAGTCCATGTCCTTTGTAGGGACAAGGAAGAAGCTGGAATCCATCATTCTGAGCAAACTATCACAAGGACAGAAAATCAAACACCGCATGTTCTCACTCAGAGGTGGAAACTGAATAATGAGATCACTTGGACACAGGAAGGGGAACATCACACACTGGGGCCTGTTGGGGCGGGAGTGGGGAAAGGACAGCATTAGGAGATATACCTAATGTAAATGATGAGTTAATGGGTGCAGCACACCAACATGGCACATGTATACATATGTAACAAACCTGCATGTTGTGCACATGTACCACAGAACTTACAAGTATAATAAAAAATAAAAAAAGACACACGCACATGTATGTTCATTGTGGCAGCGTTCACAATAGCAAAGACTTGGAACCGACCCAAATATCCATCAGTGATAGACTGGATTAAGAAAATGTGGCCCATATACAACATGGAATACTATGCAGCTACAAAAAAGGATGAGTTCATGTCTTTTGCAGGGACATGGCTGAAGCCGGAAACCATCATTCTAAACAAATTATCCCAAGGACAGAAAAACCAAATACCTCATGTTCTCACTCATAGGTGGAAATTGAACAATAAGAAACTTGGACACAGGGCGGGGAACATCACACACCTGGGCCTGTCGTGGGGTGGGGGGAAGGGGGGAAGGATAGCATTAGGAGATATAGCTAATGCAAATGATGCGTTAAAGGGTGCAGCACACCAATATGGCACATGTATACATATGTAACAAATCTGCATGTTGTGCACATGTACCCTAGAACTTAAAGCATAAAAAAAAATTACCAGCAATTTTCAGACGCAATCTCAAAAACATGAGTTGAAAACAATTAACTCTCTGAAGAGTTGAAGCAGTTATTTTAAATGTACTATGAATTCTTTAGTTAGAAAAATTCTTTCCTACATCAAATCTCTAGAGAAAAACCAGTATTGATATCTCTATGTCTCTCTGTGTATCTATCTATCACTATTTGTATCTATCACCATTTTTATCAATCAATCAATCAATCATCGGTATCACCATCAGGCCAACTGGTTCCTATCTTTGATTGACTTACAAACTCACAGAAAGTTTCCATCTAATATTCTCTTCACACATAAAACATTTTATCTAAAATAAATAGAAGAAGGTAGTGTGACATACGGGATTATATATCTGATAAATTCTTTCCACTTCAGTAGGACTTTCATTGTTGCAATTAGGGGTAAAAATTGGAATACAGAATAAGCTGTTCCCAAATTTCTACTGCTTTCTTCTGTAGAAATCTAAATGCAAGACAGGTCCAAATGCTCAAAATTGTGGTTACAAGTTCAGTAGTGCAGAATTAGATTCAACAAAGGATAAAAGGAAAAGGTACCTAATAGTGTAATAAAATATTTTCAAAATAAGACCCTCTCACAACTACCCATCCCTGCTATGTCTATGGAAAAAACTAACCCCACTAGAGTGGCCCAAATGACTCTGCCAAGGATGAGTAACCAAACCAATAGCAATCATAATAGATGGAACATACATGATTAAGAGAGAAACGGCTTTGGAAAGGAGTTGGTGCAAGTTATGTCCAAGCAAAGAGCTTCAGATTGGATGATGGTAACCCAATCCTCTCAGATCCCTCTTCGTTGGGAAGCATCAATGCTAGGTGATCAAGGAGACAGCTGTATCCTGAATGATACTGAGCTGCTGTTCTAGTTACTGATGATATCTGCACTCCCATCTAGACCATGCCACATTTCCTTACATCCTTGCCCAAACCCATTATGAAAAATAATCTGGGCATGTGTCTTCCTTGTACTATAAAGTGTAAATTCATCCATCCACAGAATCTAAAATATAAATACTCTGACTACAAATGAAATAAGCGGAAATTATTTTCTCTGTAAGATGAAAGTGTGTCAAACAAGTTCCTGCAGACAAGAATGTCAAAAGTATAGCTGTCTTCAAATAATGATTGGGGACATAAAAGAACTGTTATATGTAACTGAGTGGTACACTGGAAAGCAACCTCCATTCCTGTTGTTTGACTTTAAGTACCTATGTTACTGTATAAACAGAGAACAGCTGTAATAATGGGTAGGACTGGAGCACAAACCAGTACATATCTGCAAAATGTATATAATAGTGTTTTGACAAGGCAAGTCAGCAATTACAAAATATGTATTTCGTTCCACAATTGAGTTCAACCAACCAAAAACATACATATTCTGCATACCTACTATGCACCAGGCATAGAGTGAGATGTCAGAACGAATAAATCATAGATTTCACTCTCAAGGAACTTAGATGGAGACCAAAACAAGAGAAAAAAAGATTCTCTGAAACTCCAACGTGGTGAGTCCTATAAAAGTGATAGACACCCAACATTCTAAGTAGTACTGCAGGCAGTCTCCGCTTTTTCCGACAGTACATTCCTGGAATACACATCATAATGGAATTTGCCAAACATGCTATTTTCCTAGTGAGAGGAAATATGGTGCCACAGAAAGTGCACTAAATAAATAGCACCAAATAAATTGGTAAACAGTATGTTCAAAGAAACAAAGCTTCAACAATGGTCTAGGTAACTAAACACAGTTAAGCATCCATCCCGTAAAAATACACAAACTTAACATGTTTCAAAAGTGTTTTCAAGATACAAAGAGGAATGCAACAGTTAGGAGAAGTATAACACATTGTGCAAAAACATTTTGAATAGTTGTATTACCTGTTCTCCTTCTAGAAAAATTTGAGGCAATGCTTTTCTTCTCAAAAAATTTCCCTGTGCTAGAAGGGGCATTTGAAATCATCCCACTGACTCTGGAGCTGCCCTCAAAGTACTGAGTTGATTTTTAATAATCATTCACAGTGAAAAGCACTTTTTAAAAGTAAGGCCATAACCCATTTCAGACAGTGTGATAAAGAGACATAGGTTTTAGAATACAACTAGGTTTCAAATCCTGAATGTGACACTTAGTGTCACGTGATCTTGGGCATTTCCTAACCACTCTTGAGTTTCAATTTCCCCATGTGTAAACCAGAAAGGACACCCCCCTCACCGTGGTTAGATTAGTAAATGTATGAGGAGTATCTTGTAAGTTGTATGCATTCAATAAATGGTGTCTATTGCTAATACTACTGTCTTTATGTTTCTTCTACCTCCTTTGTTTACCCGAGGTTAAAAGTTTAGTGCAGAATTAGATTCAATAAAGGACAAAAGGAAAAGGTACCTAATAGTATAATCAAATTTTTTTTAATAACTAAGACCCTCTCACAACTACCCAATGATAACCACTACTACATTTTGGAGTAATCCATCTAGACTTCTTTCCTCTCAATGAAAATGTTTCCTGTAGAATTACTAAAACTAGAATAAAAGTATGTCCTGAGTATGTACCACCAGACACCAGTTGAAAAGGCAGAGATAATGAAAGAAAGAACAGCAATAAACCAAGAACATAAACTAAGTGAAACACTGGGATGCTGCACAGAAATAAAAACTCCAGCAAGTTGCAAAGCAGCATGAATGTACTTAGCGCCACTGAGCTTTACACTGAAAAAAATGGTTATACATTTTATGTCATGTATATTTTGCCAATAAATAAAAAACAAAAAGCAAAAACCCCTAGAAGTTAAGGCTTGGTCCATTTTGTATTCTTAGAACCTAGAATGTACTAGCTCATTAGAGTCAATATTCTCTGAATAAAAGTAAACAAGTTAGCGACAGGATTGGCATACCTTTTTCTAGTTTCCAACTCAGTCAACTGTGAAGATTAAGGGCAGTGAGAAGATAACTTAAAAATTGTTTACAAGAAACACACCTTGATGATTTACTACTGATATTGATGACATCAGCCTGGTTCTTGTATCTTTCCATGCTAGTGAACTCAGAGGCCCAAGGCTTTGTCCGAAACTAAAATCACAGGGTAAGGGCCTCACCAAGTGTTTGGGTTGAGTCTGCCTAATGGGTGAAATGTAAGTAGGGTCTCCTTAGAGTCAGCAGAGGTATATTAAGGCTGCCACGGCTGACTAGTTTAGAGTGATTTGTTTCATCAGCAAGACCTGCAGACTTCTGTACCGACATTTCATATCTACAGGCAAACTACAAAACCCCCACATCTAAAAATGTGCTTCAAAAATTTGTAACATGAAATTCTGATACGCTTTTTGTTTTAGAGTTTATTCACATCTTTACAAGACTGAGAAAGACTAATCCAGCGAACTATCACTTACTGATGTCTACTATAGGGCACTAGGGCAGGTCATAGCGATTCATGGGTGAAGAACTCAGGGTTAAAACAGGTCAGTGAATCAGCTTACGCCTACTTCCCTGGCTGTTATTACTTCATGTACCCTAGACAAATGAAAATTTGTTTTTTTAATCTTTTAAAACTCACCTGTTGAGTTAGCACTGGAGTTGTGTGGAGGCCCAGAATTCTCTATGTTTGCAGATGCTGTAAAAATAAAGAAATATCCTGTTATGAAAGAACATATAACTAAGAATACTGGCAATGTGTGGTTTTCTGCCTAGGAGGAGTGGGGGTAGTGGTGTCGGGAGGGTAGATTATTCCACAGGAAGTTCTACTTTTGCCCCTGTTGTTATGAAACATATCTTGAAGCTGTCACTAAAAGGGACTGTATTATCAGGTTTTTCAAGATAAATATCTAGCTTATGTAACAAACACTTACATAGTACTTACTATGTACCAGCCACTGAATGCAATACCTTTGCCAAAATTCATTCACCCACACAATTGGGGACAGATGGACCAATTTCTGCCACTGACAGCTCTGCTCTTATGAGTGGAGGGGACCATTTCAGGAGAGGCCCTTTCTACTCACAGGCATCTCTAGGTCTTGCACCACCCCACCAACACCCCTAATTTCATACAATGGAGGGATAAAATAGGATTTTCTTATTTAACTGCAAGCCTTCTCAGTACAGTTTTAATTTTTAAATTAGTACCTTTAGATTTGGAAAACATGTAAGAGATTTCTATGTCCCAATTGAGCAACTTTTCAGAGTGCTTTATTTGTCTAATGAAGATTAAATATGTATACCACATAGGAAGAGAGCAAGGGTATTATTGTGTCCTTTTCACAAAGATGAACTTTCCCACACTTAAAAAAAAAATCCTCAAAGTACAAAGAAAAACAGTAACTTTGAAGGATTTATCTTTACTTCTTGGGCAAATTTCTTCTTTGTGAGAATTTCTTCTTCTTGATGGGACTATCATCTATTTATCACAAAAGAATACAATGTAAGATTAACTTGAAAAAGATCAAGGTCAATAGACTATGTAGATGTATTTAGCAGCAGATAGCAAATAATTGCCAACATTATTAGGTGCTTACCACAAGCCAGGGTTATGTGCATTAGTTCATCTAACCCTCTCAACAATTCTTAGACAGGAGTATTGTTTTGCAGACAAGAACTGAGGCCCAGAGAAGGCCACTCAGATAGAAAGTGGCAGAGACTAGAATTGGACCAGATTGTTTGATTCCTAAGCCTGCAGATATGAGTGCCAAAATGCAACTACTGATTTTCTACTCGAAACCTGCTCCTCCCCCAACCTTCCCAATTGTTGCATTACCAGCTGCTTAACCCCAAAAGCAAGAGGTCATCCTTTGATTCTTCTCTCTTCCTCATCCCACCCTCCAATCCATCCGCAAGTCATTAGTCCCAAACCCCAACAGATCTAGAATCCACCCTTTTATCTCCATTGCCACTCACCATCATCTTTGGCTGGGCTAACACAAACACCTGTTTTTGTTTCCACGCTATTTTCACTCTTACATGATGATTTCTTAATTTCTTGGCAACTTAGTTGAACCCTTGAACACAGCCATTTTCAAGTCACCTCAATCCTTGCATTTTTCAGTTACAAGTCAAAAAAGTCCCTTCTTTCCACAAAGGTTGTTCAAGGTGGGTTTCTGTCACTTTTACTAAGAGTAATGACTAATAGCCTCCCCTCCCATCCTGTTAATGTTAATGCCATTCTTTGGAATACTACAATAAATCCTGCTCACTGATTTGCAAACGTGCTCATAGTCTCCCTCCTCCAACTGATATTTATAAAGCTATGCAGCAGACTGTTAAGAATATTTTAAAAGCAGAATTTCAATAATGTTTTTATCTTCTCCCACAATATTCTAGGCAATGGTAGTACTGTGGAATACAAGCATTATCTACTTCAAGAGCCATCATCAACTAACGTGGCTTAGTGGTGAAATGGTTAATTGAAAAATTGGATTCTGATCTGAAACCAAACATGTATTAATTGTTTTACTTGCCATAAATTAGCTTACTTATCTATAAAATCGGGACAATACTGTGAGGATCCAATGGGATGATTTACGGACCTAAATTAGTATAGTGTGGGATGCAAAGAAAATGTATCCAGTAAAAATCAGCCATACGAGTTTTAGTATGATTGCTAAAAATCACTATACTCCGTAATGACATTTTATACAGATTTCACTATATATGAAGACTTGGATTAACAGTTACTAGCTTTTTGAGAAATCTTCTATTGTTACCTTTTAGTCTAGTTGCAAGGTGACATCATAGTCTGTAGAACCACCTCTGGCTAGTTATACTAGTTTATGAATTCAGGGCTCTCCTACTACAGAGCATTTTAAGTTTTCCAAATGGGACTAACCTCTAGAAAGACATTAAGTAATAAACAGAACAAACAGTGAGTGTTAAAATAGGACCAAAAAAAAAAAATCTGTGTTATGAGGACAAAAGAAAGAAAAGCATGGTCACTCACAATTACTCTAACCGGTAATTCACTGGAACAGTAAGGATTATCTTCACAAACACAGCAACAAATTTTTTAAAATGGAGACCTCACCTCATGAAATAATTGATATAAAATGAGGACCAAGATACACGATGGACATGATTTTACCACTTTTCTTAAATGATCTCAAAATTAGGTCTGCGAAGCCAGTGTGTCACATGCACAATTAAGCAAACAAAAAAACTTCAGCAAAACGAAGAAAAATGAATTCACCCAGATCATTCCAGAAAAAGCAAGTGTTGTGCCTGAACCTTCCAGATTTACAAACTGCCTTCTTTTTCTCTTGCTGGATAAAACGAACCTAAGGCTAAATATACAGTGGATGGACAGAATTCAAAACCATGAAAATCTTGGTTCACTTAAAGTTAACTTATCCTAGTTTACTGACCATTACGTAGGGACCTGACTTCTGTAACAGTTGACCAAGGAGAACAGTATTTACACAGCAAATCCCAACTTCCTGGTTTCATCCAAAAAGGGCTGTTTAAAGTCTCCAAAGGGCCAAGGGCCTAAAAGGAAACAAATTCTGCCCTACACAGAAAAGCAATGTCAACATCGTCCTGTTACGACCTTACTAGCGACGACGCGGGCCACCGGCGACCGTGCAGCTGTGCCCTTAACGCTGCGCAGCTGCCGCGCGACGCGGCCGAGTGTTTATGGCACACGAGGGGTGGAGAGCGCCCCGCCAAGGGGGCAGCCGCCTCAACTGCCGCGAGGGCGGGGCGCGCTCCCCAAAGGCTCCCACCTAGCTCCAAGAGCTCCGAAGTCTAACTTCGAGCGTCAGGGGAACCTTAAGACTGTAAGTCATCTGGATAATGCTGCATAATATTAGACCATGAAATGCCGGAGAGACGCTTGAAAAGCTCCCCAACTAACTGGGAGACGTTTCCGCGGGCCTCGGTAGACATATTTTTCAACTCAGCTAATCTTGTTTACAAACGGAAGCCTTAGATAAACTCTAACCTCGGCAAACATTAACTTCAGGGAAAGGCTGTAAAAACCAACTTGTGGTAACTCAACAGGTTATGCGCGCCCGTCCCGGCCTGAGGCCGCCGCTTCCAAAAAGCGAGAGGGGAAGCACCGGGCAATTTCCTCAGCAGGCGGCCCCGGAGCCAGCGGGTGACTGGTCCAAGCCTCAGTTTCCCCCACCCCGCCCGGTCACCTCCGGGTCCGCCCCGAGCGTCCGGCCAGAGACACGCGGAACTTTCTGTACCAGAGCCCAACTTGGGAACCCAAGCCTCGGCAGCGCGCTGCGTCCCACGAACGGGGCTGGCGATCCCCGCGGCCACTTACCCGCCATGGGTGCGCTTTCATGGGCGGCCCCCAGCAGCGCTAGCACCTGCAGCGTTCCCAGGAACAGCGCGGCCCAGGCACCTCGCGCGCCGAGCCCCATTGTTCCAAGGGCAGGATGCGGCGGCCTCGTGGGTTCCCAGCCGAGGTGGCGGCGGCGAGAGCGGCTCCTCTGTGCAGCCGGCGCCGGCTCCGCTTCCCCTTCGGCCGCTCACGTCTCCCCCTCCCGCCACTTGCCCCCCGAATGACCAAATAGGGCGTAGGAGCGGGACCTGGAGGGGGCGTCGCGTGCGGGGCCGGGCTGGCTGGCGCGGGGGCGGGCTCGGGGTTCTGGGCGTGGCCACTCGGCTCCCGGCCTCCCTCGCAGGCCCGCGCCTGGGAACCCCAGAAGCCGCGAGCCGTTTCCTTTCTCTTCGGAAATGGCAGTTTTGTTGTCCTGGATGAAGGTGAACGCCGCTGCCTCTCCGAATGCTGAGCACGCCGGCTTCGCGGTGCCCGGAAGGAAGTCTTTGAAGAGTAGTTTTGCGGGCAGGAAGGGGACGGGGTGCGTGCGACTCAGAGTGAGAGGGAGGAGTTGCAGGGCAAGGGCGGGAGTAGGGGGAGGTTCTGGAGAGGAACTTGAGGGGATGGGATTCACTCTAAGGAGTCCCGGGCGGTTGGAGCTTTCCCCTCCCGTGACCCAGCCCAAGGGGGAAGTGCAGAAAAACAGCTCGACAGATTTGTTACTTAAATTCAAATGTAAAACACCTACGATCTCCTTATCCCAGTTGTACCTCATCTTCTCCACGGGTTCCTTGTATCTCTGGGTAAGACAAGAGATTAGTGAAGTGGGCGGGTGGGGGCGCCCCCAGGAGTTGGTAGCAACTCTCACTGAAATACAATAGAGTCATGGAAAGCGGGGGTATGCATTAATCCAACCAGCTTCTTCTCTCCTTGGGCCCTGGTGTCCCACTTCGGATGAAATGGCTAGTTTTGAACAGTTTTTGGCTGAGTTCCTCTTAAACCCTTGGTGCCAATGCTAATCACTTGTCTTGACTTGAAGTGCTTGTAAAGTCTGCATTTTCATTGTGCTCAGAACTCTGAAGTGACAGGTAGCGACCTGTGGCTGATGCATGAGAGTAACAAAGGCTGAGTCCTGGCTTGGGTGGGAACCCCCAGCTGGAGTAGAAGACTGAAGGATCCAGGGAACCTAAAATCACGGGGAATTTCCACCTGCAAAGGTCTTAATGTTGCAGATCTTTGGCACCTGAGCCAGATTTCATCTCATAAAGGCCACACTGCAGTTAAGTTCTCAAAACTTATGAGAAGTAGAACTTTCTCGTGTCAGGCAAATCCATCATTACCGAAGTCTGACTGGTCTTAGAGATTAACTGAGACAATCTGTCCTAAATTTACAGACTTCCCTCTGTGGATTCAATCAGCAAACCTGCAAATGTTTCCCCAGCATCTATCATGGACAAAAAGCAAGCACTGCACATTTCGGTTTTGGTTACTGTATTTAACTGGGGAATCTGGTTTAGGAATAAACCGTTCGGTAACTACCCCATTATCCAAGCATTTCACAATCTAGGCCCAACCTGTCTTTCCAGCTTTGGTTTTGTTGCCCATGGAGAAATGGTTCCTGGCATTTGCATACACTGTTCTTTCCTTCTGGAATGTTTTCTTCTATTCTCTTCACCAACCCACAGCTAATACTTCCTTTAAGGCTGAGTATACTTACAGCCTGGGAATCTGGGGTGGAATCAGAGGTCTGGATGTTTATATCCCCACCACATTCAAGTGTTGAAACCTAATCCTCAAGGTAATGATAATAATATGTGGGACGTGGGCAGGTGTAGTGGCTCACACCTGTAATCCCAGCACTTTGGGAAGCTGAGAAGGGTAGATCGTTTGAGGTGAGGAGTTGAAGACCAGCTTGACCAACATGGTGAAACCCCGCCTCTACTAAAAATACAAAAGATTAGCTGGGCGTGGTGGCACATGCCTATAATCCCAGCTACTTGGGAGGCTGAGGCACGAGAATCGCTTGAACCCGGGAGGTGGAGGTTGCAGTAAGCCGAGATCACGCTGCTGCGCTCCAGCCTGGGAGACAGAGTGAAACTTGTCTCAAGAAAAAAAAAGAAGATGTGAGGCTTTTGGGAGGTGATTTGGTTGCTAATGAATGGAATTAATGCCCTTATAAAGGAGGCCTGAGGGAACTTGTTTCACCCTTCTGCCCTGTGAGGGCACAGCAGGAAGACGCCATCTATGAGGCAAAGGGCCCTCACCAGACACCAAATCTGTTGATGCCTTGCTCTCTCAACTTCCCAGCCTCCAGAACTGGGGCAAATAGATTTCTATTGTTTATAAATTTGTTTATAAAGTATCCCATTTAAGGTATTTGTGTTATAGCAGCAGAAACAGACTAAGACAGTGTGGAAAACAACATATTTACTTGGACAGTTTTTCCTGGAGACTGACCTGTTGGAGACACCTTCAGATCTCTGCTCTCTGATTGCCACACCACAGTGAGTGGGTGTGCCCAGCTTTGCTTTGATACTGACAGCTCAGTACTGTGGGTTGCCCATGTTTTTTCTAGTCTGAGGAGAGGGGGAAGAGCAAGGAACTGTGTGGCCTTCCTGCTCTCTTGGAAACTCTGTTGCGAGGACTAGCCTCCCAGGGAAGTTGTAGTCCTAGTTGTGCCTCAGGTTCAGCCCCCATCACTGTACCAACATTTTACTTTGGTGATGTGAAAAGTTAAAAGAACAGCATGGGCGGCCCTTGGCCGTTTAGGTCTCTCCTCCTTTCCATCCTCATGTCTAAATCCCTCTCTGTAACCTCACCAGACCACTCGAAGTTTTCCACATATGCTGGGGCCTTCCATGCCGCTGTGTTCTTGCTCCTGCTTCCCTTTGCCCATGATGCCCTCTAACCTTTTCTTTTGGGTAGTAGAAACTACCTGTTTCAAGATTTCCTTCATAGCCCATCTCCCCAACCATCTGGGCGGATTTTAGTGATTGGATCCCTCTGCTTATACATTGATCAGCTGGGTCTCTACCCTTGTTCTCTGTAAAATATTCTCCACATGGCAGCCAGTGTGATTCTTTTAAAATATGTCAGATTATGCCATTCCCTTGCCACTTGACAGAGTCCAAAACTATGGCCTGCAAGGACTACAAGACATGGTCCATGGCTGCCCTTTCCACCTCTTTTTCTACTCTCTCCTTCACTTCTCAGCTGCAGCCTCTTTGCAGCACTTTAGAAACGTCAACTCAGTATCCATCCCAGAGACTGTACTTGCTGCATCCTCACATCCTTCAAGACTGCTCATCTGAGGAAAGTCCTTCTTGAATACCCTAGTTTACAACTCTGTTTCTCTTTGTGGCATCTAGTGCTGTCCGTCATTATGTTCATTTATGTGTTTATTGTTTGTCTTTCCTATAAAAATTCCATGAGAATAAAAAAGTGAATGTATATTTAGGCCTAGTGCCTATTGCATATTGCTACTGGATTTGTGTCATACGAATCACTTCCTTTTTTTTTTTGAGACAGAATCTTGCTCTGTCGCCCAGGATGGAGTGTGGGGCACGATGTCACCTCACTGCAACCTCTGCCTCCCAAGTTCATGCGATTCTCATGCCTCAGCCTCCTGAGTAGCTAGGACTACAGGCATGTGCCACCATGCCTTGCTAACTTTTGTATTTTTAGTAGAGATGGGGTTTCCCCATGTTGTCCAGGCTGTCTTTGAACTCCTGACCAGAAGCGATCTGCCTGCCTTGGCCTCTCAAAGTGTTGGGATTACAAGCATGAGTGACTGCACCCAGCCTACTTTCTTTTATTTAGAGCTCAAATTCCCAGCCTCCATTACAACTGGGCATAAGAATATAACCTAGGCTTTGCCAGTCAGGCTCATCCATATCAAACTTAAATTCGGGTATGAGCAACCAGAGGATAGTGGCTCGTTTTGGAGCTCCTTTCCTTGCTGGTATGAATAGCCCTAATAGCCAGGCGGCTGGCTTTGTTGGCAGCACTAGCAGTGACATTAGTTTCTCAGTGGTTGCAACATTGAGTTTCTGATGTAATAGTGGTATTGACAGAGAGCTGCAATGGTGATAGTTTTCTCGCTGGGCTAGTTCTGCAGTGATTTTGTGCATTATTCCTAGAGGCATGGGCCCAGTCTTGAATCTCTGCACCTTCCAACACACCCGAGAGCTACCCAGTATCTTCAATATAATCCTTTTCTGCTATATCGGCAAGAGTCAGTAGCTTTTCTTTCGTACAACTAAGGATCCTGACTCTGTATGATTGTGCGTCTTTTTCCCCACAGTGGGCTGCAGTCTCCATTAGATGATTCGCCAACTATTTATTGAGTGAGTGCTTACTACGTGATGGACAATGTCCTGGCCAGAGCTAACAGTATAGTGGCAGGGCAGATACATACACGATTACACTAGAGTGTAATCAGTGCTATGAAGTGATCATGGGAAGGCACACATTGGAGGCACAGTCTATGTGTTCATCTTTGTATTTGAGGCTCTAGTGTACTTCCATCATATAGAAGCATTCAGTTTATATTTGTGGAATGAATTTTGGGTGGAGACAAATAGAGCAGCAAAATGCTGGTGTCCTTCTCCATCAATAATATTCTCTTTGCATCCAACCTATATTTCCTGTATGTCTGAGTCTTTAACTTAGGGTTACCTGAGGGCGGACCAGGAGTTGGAACTATCATTCATTCACTTAGTCAGTGTGCAAACATTTATTGAATACATGACATGTACAAGGCACTATGCTAGGTGCTTAGAAGCAACAGAGAGTAACACAGGTCTGTCTGCCTCACAAAATGATAGACACCATTGAGTCCTTTACAAGTTAGTTGGTTCCTACCCATAGAGACAGAAAATATTATAGAATGGTGGTTACCAAAGGCTGGGGAGAGAAGAATGGGGAGTTTTGTTTAATGGGTACAGAGTTTTAATTTAATTTTGCAAGACAAAAAGAGTTATGAAGATGGATGGGGGGGCGATGGTTACACACAGTTTGAATGTACATAATACTACTGAGCTGTACATGTAAAAATGGCTAAGATGATACATTTTATGTATCTATAACCACAATTGAGAAGAATTACACCCCCACCCCCAAAAATAGAACAATACATTTAAAAATGTTGTTAAGGAAAAAAACGTGAGCTGGTTTCTAAAAATGAATGGTAACAGCTGCTTCTGTTATGATTGTAAAAAGATATAGAGATTTCATGTTTTCTCAGTGAGATTTACTTATATCCCACAGTAAATTTTAATTCATTTTTAAAAAGAAGCAGGTGATAGAGGATGGCTCATCTGGCTTAATGTGCATAGATAATTATCTTCTAGCCATGTATGAATTAGTCTGTTAATAAATCAATATTTGCATAAGGAAAGAACCAGAATCTGCCTGGCTTTGAAACTGAAGTAGTTGCAAATAAGGCAAGGCACTGGTGAGATTTAACAAAAGAGAGTAAATTGGCCTGTGTCCATTTCCCTGTTTCTGCCAATTTCCTGTCAACTTCCATTTTAGCAGATTGACAACATATTATAAACTGTGATTAA